ATCGAACCCACAACACTTCCGGCAGTAGGAAGCGGCAAGGTGAACGCTTAACCAACTACGCCTTCCGTGGAGTCAAATTCAAAGTATCTATTACTATACAACGGTAGTTTCGTACTTTATCCCTATTATTCTTTTTACACAAATAGGCACTACGAAATTGACTGTTTTACTATATTTCATAACTTATTTCTAGTAGCATAGCATATTAGTTTAGATACATATATTATTATCCTGTGTCTGTGTGTCAATGATTGTGTATGTGGATATGTGAGTGTGCTTGGGCATGTAGATGAATATAGTTCTTAAGATAATCCTCAATATATTCACCGTGGGAGAGCTATACTTCGGCAGAAATGGGCCGGCTCGACCGAAGTGATACAACGGCCTTATAATAAACTAGTGTAAAGCATTTTTTTCCTTGCTTTATGAGTAAGTGAGGTAGGCTACCGGACCCCGAAACCACTGCTCTTTGATGCGTCTGTTCGTCTGACTCCTTAATCATAATATAAATTGACGTTTAACCTCTTTGCTTCATCGTTTCTAGCTTTAAAAAGCTTATTGAGAGCAATGGAAACTTAAATAGTCGTTGTAAGCCGTTCAGAGATCTTGTTGTTAATTTAAGGCAGTAAAATCAACCGAGATTCTTGCATCAAAAGGAATCTAGCGAATGAAGTCTTGTTTACAGCTGGTCTGATCTGCATTCATATCATTAAAATGTAAATTATTAATAATTACATAATTAAAGAATTCAAATAAATCATCTATTTAAGAAGATAACCTTATAACTGCTGCTCATTAACTATAATAGTTTATTATAACGATAGTTTAATTACCATTATCATAATTTAAGTAGAACTTGCAAATATAATTGCAACTACGAGTACATGTAGAAGTACGTGTGTAGAAGTAGGTTAAACATTGTTTTGCTTTCATAATAAATTTAATGTCTTAGTATATAAATTGAGTATTATTTTTATGATCAATAAGACAAAAGACGAAATATTGAAAAGACTGAGATTTTAAAGATTATCCTTGCAAACTTCTTTTTACTTAACTTTTTTTTTTAAATGGTCACTACTAGCCATTTACAAAATAATATAGTTAGTTACTATTAAAATGTAGTATAATCTAAATAACGATTTTTTACAATGGAATTTATTTCGTTGACAAAAACTTAATTCTTCTTATCACTTCTTATTTGTTCTTTAACAAATTAGATTTTTTATGATCTAAAATTAATATAGTTAGTTACTATTAAAATGTAGTAAAATCTAAATAACGATTTTTTACAATGCAATTTATTTCGTTGACAAAAACTTAATTCTTCTTATCACTTCTTATTTGTTCTTTAACAAATTAGATTTTTTATGATCTAAAATTAACCATTGGATTTTTTATGCTATAGGTTTGTTCTTAAAGAGTGTTTTTTATAATTATTTTACTCTGTTATTCATTCTATTATGTTGCAGTTTTGTAGTGTCATCCGCCCTTGATGCATATGGAAATTTTAATTACATATATTCAGACCTAGTGTGCTTTTTTCTTTCTCAACTTAACAATCCTATCAGCCTTCTGGGAATGCTACCACGAGTAGGCATAGGTAGTTAAGAGATTTTAGGGTTAAATACTGATAAAATCTCTTTAGTAATAAAACATCCAGCTGCTCATACAAAAAAGTTAGCATTCTATTAACAGTTCTTAATATAATACTCTTTTGTTTGCATTCTTTAGTCTTAGTCCCGAAACTTGTTTAATTTTTCAAAAATGTCTGCAAATATCACAAAAGGTTTTGAATCTAAAGTTTTAAGAGATTGCATTTCGCGTAATGAAAATCTATTTTAATAATTTTTCGTCGACGCTCGCTTTATCCTTTTTTCATTCATGTACAAATATTGAATTAAAACGTTGGGTTTCAGCGATATTACAAATATGACTTTTTGAATGAAATGCTTTTGAGTTACTTCAATATGGAGGACGTTTTATGTTCTGAGCTATGGTTTTGTTTTGGGTATGTTCAACGATAAGTGCGTCATTCATGAACAATTGTTAATTTATTATTAATGAAAGTGTTCCCCTCCTCCTTCCTTCCCTGTCATTAATATACTCGTAATCATAATAGTAACAAGTCCAGATCTGATGATGGTATCTGAGGTTAAACGAGGAAGCCATTACAAATTAAGGGAACACATTATTTGTATTTTTTTTTCTGTATTTTAACCACGATGAATGTTATTTATATTATTAGATTTCTGAAAAGTTCCTTCCTTCTTAGAGTTCCGTTATATATTCAAACATATCAACGATTTCATTTAAAATCACTGCGATGGCCAGCCTCAGACGTGCCTACTGTGGGGAGAACCAAGACCATGTGAGCAAGACCTCCTCCCCCGTATCAACGCTGCGCCTATCCAGGCCTTATCCCGGAGGAAACCCTGCTACCAGTAGCTTCCCCACATCATCCGGCCTTATCGAAACATTGAGGGGCTTAATGCGATCAGTCTGCCATCCTATTCTCTACTGCAGCCTCTAACCTGCTACCAGAGGTTCCCACCTCTCTGACGTCTGATATCGGCCTTTTTTCGACGGCTTATCTAGCAGACGTCTTATATTGCCTTAATAATGTAACCTATTATATTGATGAGCACATTTATTTTAGCTTTTTAAATTAAGTTTGTAATTAATTGATTTATTTTACACTTTTTAGTACCTCTTGCTAGGTGTGTCATGGAGTCGATACAATTTTTTTAAAAGTGTATATTAAATACGAAATTATGTCGAATTTCATTGAATCAAGAACAGGTTAGAAGATCTCGACGAACCTTTTCCGTTTTAATGCTATAAACTTAACTTTCAAAATAACTTCTATGTATAGTTTTTATATTTATGGATCCAAACATGACATCTACCTATATGAATAAAAATGAATCGCCGATGTATGTACGCGCATAACTATGAACGACTGCACTAAATTGGATAATTCTTTTTTTATTGTGTTCTTTATTGTCAGGGCAAGGTTTGCATATAAGAGAAAAAAAACGAACAAATTAATAACAATAATTTGAATAATGAGGCGGCAAACCATCGGTACTATTTGTTTTCTTTCCAGAAATAAAAACGAACAATATTGTGCAAATTTTTTTTAGGTTAAGTTCGATTTTTTTACTATAATTTAACTTCATTTCATGGTCGTATTGTAAACGGAAGATTTATCATATTTTTTGGCATTATCATTAAGCATGTAACGTGTAACATTTGCGTTATTTTTTTAATTTGACGGGTAATCACTTTCAATAAACTGATATCTATATTAGGAATTATTGATAATCCAACTTATTTCAATTTACCGTGTTTAAGTGTCACATTTCCTTAGTCTGCGACTGTACACCGCCCATGTGATGTCGAGGCGGGCATAAATAGTAAAATAAGTCTTTCAGGAATTGTGAAAAAAACACTAAAACTAAAATATGAACGAAGTTCGCCGGTTCAGCTAATATCTTATATTGATAAACGAGACATTTTTCAAAAACCTGAATTTCACAAAATGATCAATATTTTTTTTAACAGAAGATTGAAGTGATTAACACTAGTCGCAGGATAGACAGCAGGTTGTTTAAATTATATCATACTAATACATGTCTGTATGGACACATATGTTTTGGACACAATTTTAAACTCTGGGTTATATTGGGGTTACCAGGCTGAAATATCATATAAGCCTTATTACGTTTGGGCCATATTTATCGAAAAAAAACCTCGATTCCACAATTAAATAGTAACAAGTACGAAAAGGAGCTTATTATTAACACAGCCTTTAAACTGCTCCACCCAATTTTATAACTTTCAAATCTTAATCCTGACTCTGCTCTTATGTACTCAAAATGTATAAATGTAATTTCTAAAGTACGAGTATATTATGAGCATACAGACGGCATACATGTGGGTAAATTCGTTCTTTTTAATTTTTAAGTTTTCTGGGTCATTCACATTCTGCAGTATACGAGTATATAGTCTATTCTCAAGGATTTTTTTTCAAAGATTATTATGTTGCGGGTAATGATGACACAGAAGTAAAATTAGCGAAGAAACACCCAGCTATTTTAACTGCAATGCTGTAATGGCAAATATTTTGTAAATATCTAACCGATCGATGATTCACCAATGATATTCACTAATTTAGATCTCTAAATCCCAGATCTCTAACTTCAGTTCGATCAAGATTGCTCACATTTCCACATCCGTCTGTATGAGCAATATCCTTCAATTGCCTTACTTTTTTACCTATCTCTAACTAACTTTCCCACCTGGTTCCTAGAGTGCCCACTTAAAAGCAGTAGGCTTATTACGTAAATGCAATTAAAGTTATAGTTGACAAAATTTTCGTTTAATCTGCCTCTGTGTACCCTTGTTGAATATAATATGAATGTGTATTTAACTTTTTTATTTAAAAAAGACAACTCCGGCTCTAGATATATATCCAGTGCTACAGGTCTTCATAGAAGCACACACAGAAAAAAATACTCAGACTCAGAACAAAAATTTGTCCCATGGGATTAAACCCATAACACTCAGCGCAGTAGGAAGCGGCGAGGTGACCGCCTAAATCTCTACGCCATGCGTGAAGTCAAATTCTCTGTTAAACGTATTTCAATTCTAGGTACTTGCAAGAGAACTTATCTTGGGAAGACTTGGACTTTTACCTATAAATGTATATGTATAAAATACGGATGTTTTTTTTTTCAATTCGTAATTAAGAAATGATTTTTGCGTCATTGTCAATCCGGGTCTTGATAAAGGCAGATAGGCCGTATAACGTAAAGTTCATATGATTAATAGCACGTAAAATGTGTCTTATTTTAGATTATTAAATGAACTAGTTTCAACTGTGATAGCCGCGTATAACGGGATTGAGTTCAGTCTTTAAAGCAACCTTGATGTGACTGTGTGAGTTGTTAGGTGAATAAGTAAGGAAACATTCAGGTTCTGCTGGAAAAGAAAAAAAAATGATGAGTAAACGTACGTATTTATATTATGCAGGATAATGTAAAAAAAAACAAAAAAATAATATAAACTAAAAAGTATATACATAGCATTATAATTTAATTTCAAGATTTTTAAAGTCTTATAACTGTACCTAATTATTTAAAAATCTGAATTAATGAAGATTACAAACTAAATTTAAAATAAATTATTTTAGAGAACACAATTACCATATTATATTTTGTATCGATTAATACTAATAACGTAATAACGTCATTAATAATAATAATCTTTTTGACATATTATTAGAAGCATGTAATAAGAATTATAATAAAAAACATCTAAAAACGATTGACTGACCCCTTATCTAACAATCAATCGAATCTGCGATAACGTGTAGGAGAACAACGATTCTCTTATTCACAAGAGGAACCACTATACTATTTGATTCATTATTTATTGCTGATATCACATCATTTCAACTGAATTCCTTAATCAGAAGCATTTAACTACATTTGCAAATTAATTTTTATGAACTTTATCATGAGCGCTGTTTTCGCGATAACCTTTTATCAATGGTTCGGAAATCTTTTAATTTTTGTCGTTGAACTCAAGTGTATTAATATCTATCAATATTATTGGAATTCATGCTGATGCAAATATTTTTTAACGTCAACAAACATGCAGCTTTTCTATTAGTTATATGACACTCGTTTAAAAATTTAGCGAATTGAAAGGGTTTTCATGTAATACTGTTTCTCGCAGTTTCGGCTACGCTTGTGATAACACAAAAAGAATGGTTCAAATCTGATAGTCGGTTCCATAGATCAGCGCGTATAAACAATCATGTAATCAAATTTTTTTTTTGTGAATTCCTTTCATATGTTTTTTTTTATTTATTATTACTGAATTATATATGAATTTATTTATAATTTAACTGTACGAAAATTAATAAGAAGAAATGTAATTTCATTATTTATTATAAGTAACTTGCTTAATTATTTCATGATACGTTTATTTTTAAATATTAATATAATACCTTATTTCGATCTAATCGATTCGTTAGTGTAGATTTAAGAGTCACAAGCAGTGACTTCAATCTGTGTATTTCATAAGATATTATAAAAGCAACCCTAAAAATATGCACTGCAGGAGAGAACGTTATTCTTTAATTCGGCCGGACAAGCAGCAAAAGACTCTTAACTAAGAAACACTTCCTCACGGCATTAGTGTTTTTTATTTAAATATAATGTTACATCAAATTTGTCCACCTAAACAAATGTTTCTGGAATTTGTTGGGTGAAATTTCATTAACAGGTTTTATTTGTACAGTCATCGAGCGGGTGAGCGTAGTGGACCGAGCGCTCGAGGTACACTTTGAAGATAGAAAGTCAATCAAGTTTGAAGATTGTTGGCTTAGGGATCACTGCAGGTGACAATTACAATTATTACTGTTTGTGTTTGTGTGTTGTTACACACATACGTGTCCTATAGGAAATAATTCCTATAGGACACGTATGTGTGTAACAAAAAAATAATTGAAAATCAATTCAATGTCACATGACAATACTTAATTAAGTCAATATAATTATCTAGCATTTCTATATATATGTATATATTTTATACTGAAACATGGCTAGTCGATGGCTCTGTCCTAGAGGCCTGTTTAGTCATAGGACGGACATGTAAGTAAGGGAGCCCGTCTCATTCAAGCTGCTTTAACTTCTAGCCGTTGCCTAAATAATAATAAGGCAAGGTGATAGAAAGTGAGTTCATATACACAACGATAATGTTGATTGTTATATGTTTTTGTAATTTACTGTGTCGCTATGTATTCTCCATTGTTTTCAAAACGTCAATAAGGTAATATATTAAAGATTATCTTGATAATAGCTAATAATTGTTTTAGATGTCTATCTTGTTATCATGCTGAGACTTACCAAAGAGCAAATCATATATTAGACCTACCAGATGTCACATTTTCAAGTTTTGATTATAATAAGTCACAGCTTTTTATCACATGTGAGTATTTTTATGTATTATGCTACATAAGCCAAATAATTCAGGATAAAGACAAGTAGAGACAACACGAGACTTTCACGCATAAATTTCAAAGATGCTACTTTCAACTCTTTACTTTCTTTGTTTGTTTTATATTTAAAATTTTAATTTTATTTTTAATAATATTGATTTAATTATATAACTGTACGAATATTATTTTAATAATTTATTAAAAGTACTTTTAATTATTTTAATTATTTCATGATACTTTTATGTTTAAATAATAATACAATGACTTATTTCGATCTAATCGATTCGAATACCACATTCTGATAACATTTAGTGTTTCTTTGTTATATCAACTACTAACCAAAAAAAATATTTGGTTTTGCAAACGGATAACACTATTTAAAGTTGATACCAAAACAATCAATATTTATAATATTTAGTGTTTTTTTTTCATAAAGTTAACTAAAACAAAATATAAAATCATTGAACTATTAATACAGAAATAAAAAAGCAAAAAAAATATTTTTTGCTGACTGCATTTATTTTTTGTTTTGATGGTTTTGAAAACTAAGCGCACAAGTTGTAGGTATTAGAATTTCTTATTCCCATGAAATATATATCTTTATTTCGTTCTCAGAATTACACTGTAATTCTAATTTTTCAGGGAGTGATAATCACGAATCAACCTATTCACACAAATTTCTATCACAATTCAACTACAAGGAGTGGAGAGAAAGTCGTCGACTCAAACCTCTGTTGTGGCACGGCAATATTCACAATAAAGTTCTCAAAATCCACGTAGATGATTTTCTTAACTCTATAGATGGTGCGAAAAGGGTGTTTCAATCACTGCTAGACTACGGTGTCGCATTGATAAGTGGGGTAATATACATGTAGTTTATGTTGTAAGTGTAAACTAGCTATTATATCTAGGTACCGATATATTTACTTCGTTATGAATAATACCTATCTCCAATATACTTATATACCTTTTACTGACAAACAATCTCCTGATGGAAAATCTAATGACGATAGTGATGCGAATATGCTGGACAATCAGAACACAGCTTTGAATAACTGTTGATTTTTGTTAAATTTATTTGGTTACTATTTGACAAAACAGAGATTGTTGCTTTTGTGTGTGTTGATCTATGACTTAAGAGTCTACATGGAAGACGATTTCAAACAATTTTGGAAATTTTATGAAATAAAGAAAGTTTGAGTTTGAGTTTGTATTTTACGTAACTAGAAACATATACGTAATGCATCAAAATATAGCCGGTTTAATAAACAAGTCCAACAACTTGACAGTATGTATAAATGAATTTACAGACAAGGGTATTGGTGTTGATATAATATGCATCATTGAACACTTTATGTCGGAAGGCTGCAAATCCATGTTAAATATACCTAACTTGGCTAACGTCTTGGCTTCACATTACAGCAGAAAAAATACTAAAAGAGGTGGTACATACATTCTTATCATAAAAGGGATATGAATGGAAGGAACTTGATAAGATATCAAGAATGTCAATAACGGAAGCTTTTGAATGCAGTGTCGTAGAAATCATTAAATCAAATGTTGTTGTTATTTGTATTTACAGAGTACCAAATTTGAGAAATTTGAACGAATTTTTCAGTATGTTACATAATGTTTTACAAGTAGCCACAAAAGGACGATAAAAAATATTGTTTTGGCTGGCGATTTCAATATTAATGTTTTAAAATCGAATTACCAATCACTTGAATTTGAAAGTATTTTGCTCAACTTTAACCTTAAACTTGCGATATACCAACCAACCCGTATTAACTTTGCGCATAATTTTAATAAACCTTGTAAAACGGAGATTATAGAGTTTGCTCTTTCTGACCATATGGCTCAGCTAATAAAATGCCTGACAGATAAAGTATGTAAAATAGACAAATATTATAAGTTTAGACGCTATTATTGTCAACCAAACGTATTTAAAATTTAAAATTTGTCTAAATGCTATAAAGTTTTCCAAAATTTATAATCTCTCTCACTCTCAATCCAAATATAGCTTACAACAGTTTCATACAGGACTTTAAACTGTTTTATAATTTATGTTTCCAAAAGTTAGAGTCAATGTAAATATAATTAAAAAGACAAAATGGATTTCAAGTGGTATTAAAAAATGTAACAAAAAGAAAAGTCACTTAAACTTTAAATCATATTCAAAATTATTAAAAATAATTATGATTCTAACTCAACGTGCACAAAATGATTTCAAAATTAACAATTCTAGGAATAAAAATAAAACGACATGGTAAATTATTAATCAGGCGAAATTTAATATACTGAAATCTCTGATATTTAGAATAAAAATAAATGATACTATTATTACGAATCCAATACAAATATCGAATGAAAAATATAATTGAATGCATGTTTTAATAAGTACAATATACAACCTACTATCAATACAGTTTTAATAAATGTGATACATTATTTATTACGATTATGACATTTAAGACGTTTAATTTTTTTAATAATATTATTGTAATTGATATTTTAATTGATATTGACGTTAAAATAGAATTCTGACCTCGTATGATGTATTAAATAAGCTCAAACTCACTCTTAACGTAATCTTATTGTATGCCTAAAGGTAGGAAATGGCAGAGCATTTTTAAAGTGTATCACCTAATTGTAAGCCCATGTTCACAATGAAAATAAATTGATTGATTGATTGATTGAAGGATACATACATTCTCGTGTTGGAGAATCTTTTAATCACTTTAAGTAACGAATGCAAAGAACGTTCAGAAGACAACTTAACTATCTCCCGAAGTCTGCTATGATGTTCAATTATTTTTTCTCCATTTCTTTATATTTCTGATTCTGATTGTATATACATTTGTTTTACACTACCGGTGTTTTGCCTGATTGTAATACTTTAGAGTTAGATAACTTAATACGTAAAATGCACAACAAATTTTAGTTATTTGTTTAAATATCTATAAGTAAGTAGATTGCATTTTCATGAAACACGATATTTTTCAATTACATCTAGAGATTTTCAAATTGCGAGACAACGGCGTCCAAATGAATTTATGTAATGGGCAGGCAAGCAATATGTTTAATTAACAACATCAGTTTATTAATATTTTCAGGTAGGTGTATCTCTCAAAGATACAGAAGAAGTTTGTAAAGCTTTAGGTGGTGTCCAGCATACGCTGTTTGGAGGCATGTGGCAATTTAGCACCAAAACCGATCACGCAGACACTGCATACACAAATTTACCTCTCGCCGCCCATAATGATAACACATACTTTACTGAAGCTGCTGGGTAAGAAACTAAAGTTCTTTTGTCTCTCACTTGCATAAGTGCTCATTAAAACACCAAATATATTTGTATCAACTTACGAAGAAGCCCTTATCAGGCAAATAACATTATTTAGTTATATATTCCTTAATTTTCCACCAAGTCAAATACAAACTGTAATTATTAAGTATAACAGTGATATCTGAGAAATTTTAATTCAAAATGTTTGAAATTTCATTATGTTAAAAGCTAATGAGCACTTTCTATGTAATAAAACGATATATCAAAAAGTTGAACAGACTTCAAACAGACTAGAAGGGACTATTGCTATTATAATACTACCTATTATATTAAGGGTACTTATTATAGTTTCTTACTTCGATTTGTAATTTTTTTAGTGGTCTTTGTCAGTATTTTTTGAAGTCGGTTCAGCTTACTTTTTAAAAATAATTTATTTTACAATTTTTAGTACAAGATACGTTTGTAATGAATAGATAAGTTCAAAATTCAAAACACTACGTACCGTAATGTTTATTAATGAACTGTAGTATGTTAGCTTAGGTATATTGAATACATACGCTCCATGGCCGGTAGCGACAGATGTTTTACCGCGGTCGCATCCTTCTGCGAAGACGTCATCTCGCAGAAGGAGGCGGCGGAGTTGGCCCGGGAGGACAGCCTCCACTCGGACCCAATCCGTCGCCGGCGAACAGGGCGGCGGAGGCGCGCTTATCACCGCCTCATGCCGCCCTGAGTGTGGCCGCGGGTGGACGGGACGGGTTTTCCCCTCCACCTGCCATAACGGCCAGCCGCGAGGAGGCGACGTCCGCGTGTGCCGGACGTCGCCTAAATAGAGAAGGTACCTGAAGGTGGTGCCCGCATCGTTGCGGGCAGGCGCTAGGAGGGGTCCGGAGGTTCTAATAACAGCAGTTCCCGGATCCCTCCTATTACACGCGCAGGGTGACACAACGTGTGGTTTTAGTCGGTCCGATTCCGACACACCACCCCGCCGTAAACCCCGGTGGGGTGACGGCCCGAGGGGGTTTCCACACGTTAAAAAAAAAAACAAAGGTATATTGAATAAAGTTTTGTAAGTCCGTTACCTTATTTAGATAAGGTAGTAATATATTCTTTTCCACATTATTTAATTCGCCAAAACTAAGAGTGCTATTTTTTTTTCACATTTGAATGTTACCAAAGGGGAAGAAGGGGAAGAATTTTCTAATTCTGTTTACAAATGAAAGAGTTTTGAGGTAATAAAGATGAAAATAATTGCGTAACAAACATTTTTTGCCTAAATGTTTTGTGATCGCATTTATAACTCTCTAGTGCATAGATCTCTTTAACCCCAACACAAACACCTAACAAATAAATATAATATAGTAGTTATTTTCTAACTCCTAAAGGTCTAGGATCCTTCCATTATCAGCACAGCAATATGAACTACTAAGCTCAAATACCTATATAGCGAGAGAAATAAAACGCGTTATCGGGGCTGTAAAATTTGAGGGTTTCCTATACAGGGGTCCCATTTTCAGATCCTGATTTGGTGATAATGGAACCACCCAGGAGTATACGCTTTCGACTACAAAAATAATTTTGACAACCGTGTCATAATTGACGGAGATATCGCGCAACAAACATACATATAACCTCCTCTTTTATGTTTCTGAAGTCGTTTAAAAATAATTCCACTTGACTAAGGTCCAAATATGTTATTGAAAGTTATTTCAATATATTGTTAAAATATTTAATAAAATATTTGAAAAAAGAAGAAAATATTTGTAAAATTATTAAGTTTAGAATCGTTATTGTGAAAAGCTCAATTTGTAGAAGTGCTCTTACTGATTCCCAACTAAACAAGGATTATATGATTACTTGAGCTAAAGTCACATTTATTCCAGTAGTGCTTTAAAAAGGTAACGTAATGAATTACGCAAATAATGAATCTAGTTACTTTTTCAAGAGCCTACTTGCAATGTACTTTAACGTGGATCCTGCCCGACATAATTATTTCAGGATCAATTCGAAAAAGCTTTCGTTTTTTGACCGCCCTGAAATTCTGTTTAACAATTCGTTTTCGGTTACTAAAGCATTCACTTTTCGTTATTGTAACAGCGTACAATTGCGACGTAATATGAGGCTTTTGCCATGAATGTACCAATTGTTCAGACGTAAGGGAAATTCACGAAGTACCTAAAGCGGGTGCAACCACACGTCGCGGCGTCGTTTGATTTACGAGTACAAAGATGTTTGACTTACATGTGTATACCTTCACTTAGCAATTCCGTTTTTCCGAAATAAATATGTGTTTTATTTCTATATAATTATCTAATTATGCCTCTTTTATATTTATTACCGATTAAACTGTCAAAACTCATTGCACCTTCAACTAGGACTTTCTCTCCGAAATATTTTGCTCCATCTTAAGTTTGCCTGGAATAGAAGCAAGAAGGCCGACGTTTGTAAAACGGTGTCTTTATGTTGAAACTGATGATACTTTATTTGAACTCTATATATTCACCAATTAAACAATTATATTTTTCAGATTACAAATCCTCCACTGTCTAGAACACAAAAACGGTAAAGGTGGTGAAACCATACTTGTAGATGGTTTTAATGGAGCTCGGGAACTAAAGAAGGAGTTTCCAGAAGATTTTGATTTCTTAACCAAGTTCAACGTGGAGGCCGAGTATATTGAAAATGGACATCATCATACATATTCGGCTCCTGTTATAAAAGTAAATAGTGACCCAGGAGATATTGTGCAGATTAGGTTAGTTAACAAAATAAAAACAAGGCTTTTAAGTATGGTATATATCATTACCTGAGGGGGTCATAAAAAAATGGGTTAAAGAAATATATAAAATAAAGCAGCAATTACCTGCTTTAGCATTTATGAATCAACACTCCGACAGATTTGGCAGAATTCACGTCAGCTTAGATTAAGTTTGAATCGGATATTCTATGGACTGCATAGAATATCTGATTTTAACTTTATGATCTGCAATTTAATTTATTTTACTCTTGGGAAAATACACATCACAGAGTATAGCACGTTTTGTACATTATTTTAATTAGAGATTGAAACGTAACTTAAGGTCTGAAATGAAAAAAGTTTATTTCAAGATCAAAAAATGTCACCGATCAACAAATTTTTACATAATATAAGACACATTAATTACGGTAAATGGCTTTTAGGTTCAATGTTTATGACCGTGCTCCGATGGCATTTAATAGTGGTGAAAATTGTCGCTCATACTATCGCTCACTTCGAAACTTGGCTAAATACTACGAAAATGAAAGCAACCAATGGAGATTTAAATTGCAACCAGGTAAGAATTTCTACTTTGATTCTTTTTGTTCTGTGTCGTAGTTTTTTAAATTTTATCGTAACTTCGTATTCTGTAGGATTTCTTTTGCAAATACTTTCCATTGTTTACTTTTTAGAAAATTGCATTTGCAATTTGCAAATCTAAAATTAGTTTAAAGGTTATTTCAAAATAAATCTTTTCACAGGAACAGTGATGGTGATGGATAACTTTAGAGTGCTCCATGGTAGGACCAGTTTCTCTGGGAGCCGAGTTCTTGCTGGCAGTTACGTGTCACGTTCTGACTGGTTGAACAGAGCTAGAACATTGAACCTTATAAAATAATGTAATTAAAGACTCAAAGACTTCACACTTACATTCACACCATACTTCATGTAGTTTCTTTTATTTAATTTAAATATCTCATTTTAGCAAAAATAATTAATTGATATTTTTCATAATTAGGAGTTTCTTGTATTGTTGTTCTTACAAGTATTAGATAGAATTAACATATTTTTTTCTAAGATTAATGTTAATGCTTAATGTTATTTGTCCCTATTTTCAATACTTAAATAAAACTGTTTGCATAAAACAGAAATATTCATGAGCTCAACAAGACTCAAGTAAGATCAGGATACAATTACTGATGATGAATTCAAAGTGGCTACAGTGTACAAAGCCCTTCGTACACTTCGGGCACTTTGGATTTGATTATTCTGAGTTCAGTTGTACGTTTAAAGAAATTTCACTTCAAATTCAAGAGATATTCATACTAATTTAATACGATGTATTTAAAAGTAAAATATATACAGAATATATTTAATCTAAATCATTTTCCTTTTCATTTTCTTGCTTAACCTTTATGAAGCATAAGAAGTAAACATAATATTTCATTTATTTTATATCATCTCAAAAACATTAATATTGTGTTCAATATAGGAGATGTTTAAGCGTCCGTGTTATAATTTTTCTTGTGTTAGTAGAATATTTTAATCTCATTTATATATCATAGTAGCTGAGACCCGCGGTGTTACCCGCGTTTGTTTGCTAGTCTAAAAAAAGTAGCCTAAGTTACTCCTTATGTCATCAGCTATCTGCCAGTGAAAATCCCGTCGAAATCGGTCCAGCCGTTGAAGAGATAACCCGGAAAAAACAGACAGACTGACAGACAAAAATTGTAAAAAAAATTATTTTGGCATATGTACCGTGTAAACATACATATGCATTTAGTAAAAAGCGGTTATTTTATAAAACAAACAGACACTCCAATTTTATTTATTTGTATAGAAATATATCATTATTTTATCGTAAATATTGTACAACATTATTCGAATGCGATTTTTTTTATAGAAACATCTATTTGCCTGAAAGAATAGACAAAATATGTCTCGATTGTCTAGTTTTGAGAGGTTCTGTTGGTCCAACGATTAGTGATCCTGACTGCTAAGCCAGAGGTCTTGGGTTCGATTCCTAAGTAGGACAGAGAATATAAGTATCTTTAGAAATATATAAGTAAGTTTATCGGCAGTTTATTTATATGGAAATTAGGGTTCATAGTAAAGTACAGGCTTTGCTTAGTTTGGGATCAAACGGCCGTGTGTGGGATATGTGAGGTTCTTATTATTATTTTAATACCTTTGACACACAAGCATAGAACTCTATAAGTAATGTCTTCATCAATCAGGTGTAATAAATACTTGGCTTTGTAAGTTTCATCTTATAATACGCAAGTCAAACTCGGAATGCTTCCAGGTTCTTAATTCAACAATAGTCATTGTAAGCGATTTTCCACTATCGATCTTTGAATCTATTAGACAAACAAAATGAAGCTCTCACTCGAAGACCCAAACCAAACGCAATAAGTACTTATGAATATATAATAGAAGTACTTCAATCTCAATGGAATCGTTTCTACGCCACCATTAAATGCAGTTAATCAGTTTTGCCAACATTGTATTAAACTTGGTAGTATTGGTACGTCTGCCTAAATTGAGTTGCCAGAATCGTAAGTGTAAATAGGTGTTGAACTTACGAAAGGAGTTCAATCAAGTCGTGTTTATGAGTATCAATAACTGTAGGGCCAGGCTAAGTAACACAGAAAGCAACTGAGAAGTTAACACGTGTTGTCATGTATTCATGTTTTAAGAAGTCTATGTAAAAGTCTATTTTTTAAATTCAGAGTGTAATAGCAATATATTTTGAGAAATATTAGTCCTTATTATTACTCAAAACAATACGTAACAGACTCACTGCTGCACACATAGTAATTCAATTTTGTCGGTTATTCTAGATGACCGTCTATATTTTTGATATGATGATGTACGTTTATATAATTTTACAGTGTTCAATATTTATTATTTCTATCGCAGACCACTGCTGGACATAGGCCTCTCCCGTAGCACGCCACTTAGATCGATTTTGGGCTTCTCGCATCCAGCGCCTGCCAGCCATCTTGCGCAAATCATCTTGTTGTTTGTTTGCGATAGGCTGATGATGATGATGATTTATTATTTCGTTAAAAAGAAAAAAGAACACTTACAAGATGATTTTGTTGTCCATTTATGTATTTGTCTGATTGTCTGTCTATATATTTATGTATAAAAGAGCCTGTTCTCTCTCTCATTTCTAGAGTAAAATTACTACAGTAAAACGTAGAAACGATATGCGACCATTGTTATTAGCGTTTTGGCATTTCGCCATACTTAACGCAAGACAATAGATCCTATTCTAATATGGCTTGGAAGAGGGAAAAAATCGCTGAAATTATAGGCATCTTTTACTACACCGATCGGTGATCTTTATTTTTCTCTACTAAAAAGGTGAGTAATCCTACCTGATTACACTGGTGAAAATGTGAAAAAAATAGCAGGTTTTATAAATTAAGTTTGTAGAAATATTAAATTTCTTAAACCGTATATAATATGTTAACAACATGAGATACGAAGTAAAAGTATTTTCGCGTTATCAAGTTTATAATGCTTTTATTAAAATAAAATATTCTGTTTTCTTATGTTACATAACAACCGTTATTGAACAGCTGAAAAAGACGAAAAGACAAACATAAGACGAAAAAACAAACATAAGATCTTGGTTTAGTGATTCTACATTGTTTTACTTCCAAGAAAGGTTTAATACATTATTGAGTAGGTACTCGTATACTGATTTCTGGAAAGCAAATGAATCTGTAATTGGGGAATCAAAGTGAGGCTTATAAGCTTTTGATCTTTTATTTGAGTCTGGATTTAACCCTTGACAGTATAGATTAATGTTATTAAATTCAGATTTCAGAGTGATAAAATACAGGTTTCGAGAATGTTAACGGATATTACGAATTACTGTACTTACACAAATAGTTATTGTGTACAGTACAGTGGTTTTTTATACTTTTTATTATTTAAAATAACCTCAGGGATCATAATAGTATTAATTCAATAATAACGGGTAACAGCATTGCTGAAGATTAAATGAAAGGTTCTAAATAAAGTAAGCAAAAAAATGTTGTTATATTTTCATTATTGTTACAACTATTTTGATCAACATCACATAAAAGTAACAATGAAATACATCATATTAAGTAACATATAAGTAGTTTTCCCTGATGAATCACTTGACAGCTCATCCATCACAACGCTTCATACGCCGAAACTTTATGCGGGATCTTTTAATTTCTGTTCAATATCATTACGAAAATTAGTAACACATATACCAATACACTTATCAACTACACTGTTGCTTATAGGGCGTTTGATTCTAAAATACATTTTAATGGATAATAATAATTAGAAATAAAAATATTCAAATAAGTTTTAATTTAATTTTTAATTTTTGGTCTGGGTGTTTCTATGTATAATGTGTATGTATTTACAAAAAAAAAAAAAAGTATATATGTATTTATATCAGTTGTCTAGTACCCATAGTACAAGCTCTGCTTAGTTTGGGACTAGATGGCGTTGTGTGTATGTGGTAGAATATTATTATTATTATTATTATTATTATTAATTTAATGTACCTTGTATGTTACAGATTGTCATTGAAAAAAGTGTGCTTAAAACTTATTTTTGATTGCCTAAATATATAGTAAATATATAAATAGAATATTTTGTTTATAAAATTATACTAAAAGAGACTTATACTTTTGTTTTGTTTGTACAGCAAGAATATAAATGCATATTGCATAATTGAAAATTTACACTTAAAAAAGTATTCAAAAATAAAATAAATATTCAAATAAGTTATCCTTGTAGTTTAAAAATCTCTACAATAATTTCCCACTAAGCGTAGTGCATAGTTAGCATAGTTTTATAACATTAATGATCTAATTAAAGAATGAAATTGATAATACCTATACTAATAATAAATATAATACTAATAAACTGGTGTGTAATATGTGCAATGTATTCAAGAGTACTTACTCTTGAATACATTGCACATATTACACACCAGTTTCTTCCTTTAAAGGACTTCCTTTACAAACAATTCTGCAGCATGTAATACACCGTTCGAATTAATAAGTTTCGTGTCTCTCATAACTCCCGAAATTCACAGAGAACCGCAGAACTTCGAGGCATATGTTACTAATAGCCTTGAACAAACTTTGGCAAAATTATCTGGGCAATTTTCTTGCAGAGTTGTTTTCTTATTAACAGTAACAAGTTTGGAGTTGTGTCATGATCATGACAAGTTCATTATAACAAATTGTTTTGTAAATAAATCTGATTTTACTACTTGGTTATACTTATGAAGGGGTACTATTTACAGGGATATTCAAGGGTATAGGATACCTCTTCTTGCGTATTCACCCGCTGGAGTGAATACTCAGCCCAAAATTTCGCGATAGCCAGGGCGTTATCCGTTGCTCTTCAGAACTCCTTTATAGTGCAGCTGAAGGGGCACACACATCACATCAATAGTCTTTAATAGTCCACTGCTGGACATAGGCCACGCTGACCAGACGGGTTGGTATAAAGTTTGTTTCAAGGTTTCCTTCTCTTTGCAGTGCTGTTGTCCCGTGTATTTTGCTTCCTTAATCAGCTCTTACGACACCTACCTGATGAATAGGGGCGGTGACACTCTGTATTCTTAATCCGTCACAACACAATTAGCATATTGCTCTTGCAACGACCAACCTGCGGACGTAAGCGATTCAACGATTTCCATATTGGTCATGGTAGTCAGTGAGCAGGTGGCAGTTTAACTGAGGGTTTAATGAAACCTGCAGGGACAGAATGTTTAGCTACCCATAATTGCTCTATTGTCGGTGGAACAATAATTAATTTTTAATTTATTTGCAATAATGAAAATTTAATTTATTTATTTAGAAACTTATTTAAAATAAAAGTATTTAT